AAATTGGGAGCGAACAAAAATTAAGGAAATATACGCGTATAGTGGTTCTCGCTGCGGGTTTTATTTCAGTTGCATACTTTTCTAATAATCAACCAGAATCTGTATAGAGAAGCGTTGTTGTATCATCAGATGAAAAAGTAAAATTGATTTTTTTTACTTAGTTTTACGAGAAAATATCATCATATCATGCGAACGCACCCCCTGCACCCCCACCCCCCACCCTAGCTACGGGTCTGCTATCTTCCAATTTCTTAAAGAGATTAACTTTGATAATCCTCGTTTCCGTTTTGTTAATTAGAAAGATTTACAAACCGAAAGAAGCTTATTATTAATAATACCTACGTACAAGCTGACAACATTTCGGTAATGTGAAGCACCACTGCCGCCAATAAGAAAGCTTTCAATGAAGAGGTCTTGTCTTTTTGCTAATCTATGCGAATGAAAGTATTGTAAGTAATCCCTATATTAATATGCAAGGGAATTAAAACGTTGAAAAGAATTCACTTTTTTTTCCACACGGCGTACATAAAAAGCCTATGCACATATGCTATTTAACTCGATATTGTCAAGTTATTCAGTTCGATATACGCAATATAGGTGTCACATCCACCAGCGCAACGTTTTTGTGTCCTTTATAACCGAAGATATGCCTTTAGACCGGACAGAACTAGGTTAAAAAAGGTATAGAWTGTATTTGCCTTCTGAACTGAATTTAGTTACCTTTTCTTTACTTATTTAATGTTTTTAACATGATTAAGGGATAAATTTATCAACAGTGAAATAAATTTGGTAATATTCTAAAAACTTCGTACATGAAGAATTAAGGGTGTTCAGTAGGGTGTTCATAAAAAATAAGCCAGTACATATTTTGGTAACTCGGCTAACGACTCCTCATGTTATCTTTTATCAGGTTGCATACGTCGTCATGGAGGAAGATTTATTAAGGAAAACTTACCTGTTGATCAACTGTTTAAACTTAAATGGCGCATCCATGGAATTCATTAAGTGTAGAATCTCGTGTTTTAAAGCAATGGAAACAATGTATAAAATTGCAAACCTGGGTAAGGGTGCCATGAATGGTTATTTTCTTGGAAGTCAGATAGAAGGGTGTACATTACTAGGGCTAGACTCGGATGAAGACATCATGTTTGTAAACACTGATATCACCGTTTTAGCCGATGTCAACGATTTTATCCCAAAAGAGTCAGAGGAAGTGATATACAGCAGAATTTCAAAACTTGATCAAAGAAATGAGATTCTACAGAAGACGAGTTACAAACCTGAAATGCCATTCGGTCTGATATCGGAGGAAGGTGTAACTCCTGGATATGTAMATATCATTACTATCAACAAAGAGACAGGTAGACCTCTTACAGAGGAGAATGAAAATCCGTTGTCACACCTTTGTGACATAGATGAAAATGGACATATGCTTTTCAGTGCAGAAAAATTACAAAGCAGAATTGGAGATGCTCRCCCTTCAAGATACAAACATGGACCAGCAATGACAGAGGATTCGACAAGAGAGTTCAAGTCCTCAGATCTTGTTTATGGCTTACAGACTTTGTCGTGGCCAAAATCAGCGGATGAATGGAAAACTAGAGAAAGAAGGTATAATTGGCCACGGGCACAAACTCTGCAACTTGCCAAAGATGGATGTTTTCTAGTTCCTGTTTCATCGTCTAAAACTTCACCACCCACAGAATGGCGATTATCGTTCACACTGCTGGAAAGGGAACTGATTTGGACATGGAATGCCATACAGTACAAATGTTTTATGCTTCTGAAGATAGTCAAAAGAGATCTAATAGAACCTAACGTTGCAAACTCCATCACTTCCTATCATATGAAGACGCTGATGTTTTGGTTGTCAGAAGAAATGGATTCCACGTTTTGGAGCATCCAGAACTTTCATAATTGTATTAGACAGTGTCTGGAGAAACTCACGGAATATGTTCTTGAAGAGCGTTGCCCACATTATTTCATTAGAACAAGCAATCTGTTAAGAGGCAAACTCTCCTTAGAAGAAAAAGAAAAGGTGATATCCATTCTTACGACGTTTATAGACAATCTTTGGACTAAAGTGTTTGAACTTCCTAGTCTACGTGGTGTTTCTCAAAACATCGAACAAGGACTGACCGAATGCTTCGTTGACCTGCAGTCTGCAGCTCTCAGAAACCCAGTGTTGCTGAATGAGATAACAAATCTACGCATCAGCGTTCTGATCAGTTTTGCCACATCTGCAATGAAGCCTGCATTTCAGCTACTAACTGATGGTGATTTAAACGTAGCTATTGAAAAGCATACGGACTATCGTCGGTTACTGTCCAGGCTACATTCAAATGACGAGGAACACTTAAATCTCGTCAACGCCATACATCATTTAATAGACATCAGCTTAGGTGCGCAGTTGTGTTCGTCAGCCTGTTGCGTTAAAGATGAACCGGAAAAGTTAGATCTTCTACAAAAATCTGAAAGTTTGCTGAAAAGAGGTGAATGTCTCGATACGTCATCGGGCAAGTTARAGTTAGCAACGTTGTACTTTGTTAAGGGAAACTTAAAACAAGCACTTTGCTGTATTCGTGAAGTCATGGTCAAAGAAGATGTTATGCCCTTGTCTGGATTCGAACCCAGGAATCCTGATAGCATATCTTTAGAGCTGGTTCTTGATGTCATTTTAAGAAACCAAGATCCTGTATCATTACTGGGCAATTACGGAGCACTAGAGATTATATTTCTGCCTTCAGAAATCCATTCTGCCCCCGACGCTGTAAAATTTGAAATAAATCGGGCTATGATTGCGGWGAAAGATCTAGATATTGGATTGGACGATCCATTGAGATGGGTTGCGTTAGATTCCAGATTTTATGCGCTCTTGCTAGAGTTTCTTATATTACATAAACAAAATGTCCTTTCCGAAAGGGACAGCACATTGTCGAAACTTCGAAAATACGTAAAAACACCGGGTATCCCCGTGTTACGGCGAGTGACGGCCCTAAATATAGTTGGACATTGCCTGGCTTTGGTCGGCGATTTGCAGTGGGCCCTTGATATTTTCATGGGGTCTCTCATCATACAGAACCGTCACAATGCAGCTGCGTGGCATCTGGCACTGATTGCTTGGAAAGAACTGAACAGGCTCAGTGTGAGATGAAGCGCGTAATTAACTAACACGTAGTAGAGGCCAGAACGTTACTTTCCCGAATCAGTGTAAGGTCTGTATCTGTTTTGTCATACAGACTTTTAACGCCAAATAAAAGCGACTATTTTGTCCCACTCATATATATATATACACTCGATT